TCACATCAATGTCCCCAAGTGACCCTAAGACTTTTCATATCTTTCTCTCCTCTTTTTACCCTGTCAACCAATGTCACTTCAGCAGATCTCTTCACTGACTACTAGGGAGCACTTGATTAACAATGTGGACCATTCATAACTAGGCATTGAAAAATAACAAGTCCTATGCACCGAGAGTAGTATAGGATTGTTCTAAATCTAAAAGCTTGACTACATAGTAAAGCTTTAGGCTTGTAAATTTGCTCAGCTTAATAATGTTGTTCAACTTTCACTCCGATCTTTTGATTGTCTAATAAATCTTTAGAATTGTTCGTAGATTTTGTAGATTCGAGTTAAGCAGCAATTTTCAAAGCTTCAGTTATAAAAAAACTGTTACCCAAAGTTCTTCAGAGTTCATTTTCATTTTCTAAGAGGCTTTCCAAGGGAAAGTAGTTGTCTTATTGGCAGTAAGATCTACCTATTTACCTAGTATCTCCATTTCTAAACCAACTCCTCTAAATACATTATGTCATTTCTTGGTGTCAAAGTGTCGAATGTGTCTGTGTGGGGGCGTTGTTGGTGGACGGCGCCCGAGAGGCGGCTCGATAAGAGAGAGCAAAAAAGGGAATGGGAGGGAATGGGAGACCCACTTCTGCCTCTAAAAATCCCGCGAATTTCACCGGAAATCTCTCAATGAGTGAAATGAGTAAGTGATCACAGTCTATACAAGGGTTTTGGTGCTCTTTACAATAGACTTTTCACTCATTGAGTTTTTTCCATGATTTGTTTTGTTTTTGGGGAAGAAAGTCTTTTGATTTGATTTTAATGATTTTAAATTCTTATTACATTTTCTGGTAATTTAAGCAAGTAAAGATCGCAATTTGTTTGGTGTTTGATTTTAAAAATCAAACAGTTTGGTGTTTGATTGTGAAATTACCGTAAATACTGTAATAGTACCTCACCCCCATAATGACGGTGCGGAGTGTTGCGTAGTCTAGCTTTGAACGAGTTTTTCTCGACACTGGTTTATGCTACAATGTGCGCTCAAGGGGCAAAAAATAGCCCTGAATTTCAGCTATTTTTTGATACCAAAGACGCATTTTTTGAAAGTACGGGCGCTTTGAAAAAAATGAAATACTAAAAAAGTTTTGCGACTACGCGACTGTACGAGGGGGGTGGGGTACTATTACAGTATTTACGGTAGGTTTATTGATTTAAACGATTAGTACACTAGAAGATAACTATAGATATAATAAATAGAAGAAGAATAGATGAATTCATTTGTTTAATCCGAATTTGACTTAAATATTTAGTAGCTAAGTTTATAACTATAAGATAGAGCTGATAGAGTTAATGGTGTCATCGTTAAAATATGATTGAACTATGGTCAGCTTTAGCTCTTTGTCCTTACAATGGGAAGATGATCGGGCTATAGGAAAAAATTTAAAGCCTCATACTTTAAGGCTATACTTTAAAATTGAAATTATATTCAAAATAAACGAAAAAGTTCAAATCAAAGCTACATGGTTAGCGATAGCTTTTATTCTTACAATGAGAAGCTTTACGTAAAGATATCCACTATTTCTTGATAAAATTACTTTAAAACTTTGAGCTCTATTCAATCCATTCATCCATTTCATTCCATTCGAATCCATTCAATCAAAACCAGTCCTTTTCCAATCTCAAAAACTGACCACCCCACTAAAATGTTGAAAACTCTTTCCCTTCTTTCCCCTTTTCCCCTTTTCCCCAAAGTTTTAAGAGGTAATTTTACTTATGATTACTGCAATCAAAAAAAGCCATTTCCTGATAAAGGGGAAACGTTTTTTTGGCGGGAAAACCTAGTAAGTTTTATGCCTTTACTGCTGAGTTTTGGAGCCTTAAAAGGAAAAAGAAAGGGATTAAATTGAGAGATAAAGCATTCATTTCATTTATAGACATTCTAGTAATATCAGACAAAGCTGAAAGTGCAAGTACTTGTGCGAAAAATGGAGGGAAAACACATGTGAACAGTTTTTGAATCTGTTCAATTTGAATTCATTTTAGTATTTTCTTTTAACTCACAGCTATCTTTTAAAGAAATGTTCAAGTATGAGAGAAAGTTCTTTTTATGAATTTTCGCACAATTTTTGCCCTATTTCTTTGCCATTTTCCCATGGTACATGAGTGGGAATAGTGAAGGAAATGGAGGAAAAAAAATGGAAGAATTTTCTGGGGAAATATGGGAGAGTCGGCCGACTGTTATTTCCCGGGAAGTCCCGATTCACAGAGACATTTCGGGCACGATGGGAATTGGGATGAGTGGAGTGCTTCTTAAATTCTAAATTCGTCAACAACTCAACTTAAAACTACCGTAATCTTGACTGTTTATCCAATATCTCTACTTTTATCTCATTGACTATCCTTGTGAACCCTAACAAAATCATAGATGTGAATAGATTGATAAAAACTAAAGCCAAGATTATGATAGCTTTTAAAAGTTGATGTGTTTTAGAAAAGATTCTAGGCCAAATCTGTAGAAAATTGCTAAATTCTTTCGAGATTCAGGTCGCTAAATTCTAAAAAATACAAATAAATTTAACAGAAAAATTGTTGCTAGAATTTTAAAACTAAAATAGGCTTAAAAAACAAACAAAAAATGAAACTAAAATTTGCTAAAAAAAGGCTGTAGAATTCGTAGAAAAGAAGAAATTTGAGGGAAAAATTGTTGTCAAAAATTTAGGCATAGTGAGGACAAGAGAGAGGGAAACGGGTTTTTTCGGCTTTCCAAGTTCAAAAGGGAAGCACCTTACCCTGGGGACGTTTGCCAGATGATGAGCGATTACGCGGGCGTACAAAGCACATAGCACCCTTAACAAAGGCCATTTAAGACAGGGAGTTTTCTAGATGGCTTCAAAAGAAGATATTCAGCTGTAAACTTGTAACCAAGGGTTTTCGAGGGTGGGGATCGATTAAAACTATTCATTTCATTGAGCTTGTCAATCGGATAACGAACAAGAGCCGAATTTTATTGGGTTGGGGGATGGGGGGGGCGGCGGAAAAAAAAAAAGTCTAAAAATTTTTTTTTTCTTCTTATAATATTTTTTTTTTTTTTTTTTTGGTTGGGTGTCAATTTTTCTTCAAATGAATATTTAAAAAAAATTAAAGCGGCGCCGCCCCCGGAAAAAGTTTTTTTTAAACCAAAAACAAAAAAGGGGATTTTAATAATTTTTTTGGGGGGTTTTTTTGTTTTTTTTATGATTATTTTTTTTTTTTTTTTTTTTTTTTTTTTTTTAAAAAAGAATAGGGGGGGGTTGTTTTGGTATTGTTTTTTTTTTTGTTGGTTTGTTTTTTTTTTTTTTTTTTTTGTTGTTTTGTTGGGGGTCGTTAAGTGATAGGGGGTGGGTTTTTTTTTTTTTTTTTTTTTTTTTTTTTGGGGGTTTTTTTTTTGGTTTTTTTTTGGGGATATGTAGGGTTGTTTTTTAGGGGATTTTTTTTTTGTGGGGGGGCCCGCTTTGGCTCCCCCCCTAGTATAAAGTTCTTCTACCAATCACCAACTTCTTTTAATGGAATACTTTCAATGTCAAAAAAAGACAATAGCTGAGGTACTCGACCTGGGGGCTCAAATTACGAGGGTCGGCTCTTCTTTTCTTCTTATTTATTCCCCACAAAAGTCTGTCCAAGGGCATTCACCTTCTTTATGATCCTCTGGTTCTCCCAAATTGGTCCCTTGCTACTCATTCACTCCATTCTCAGCCTTTCGTTTCCCATTGGCATTTCTCGTTCTTGTTACTCGTTCTTGTTACCAATTTGTTGTTGATATGTTGAGATAAAGTTGCCGTTAGCTATGCCGGAAATATCTCCAGGTATTAGGAAATCAAAGCCACCGAAAAGCGAGAATTCATTCACACACCTGCACCCCAGCTGCCATTACAAATCCCATTTATCTAACTGAAAAGAAAAGAAAAGAGTTTTCTTCTTTAACTCTAATCGTTTCTATTTCTGTTTCTGTTTCATTTATTGGTTTTATTTCTTAATTTTCGTTTTGTTTTGCTTAAAAACTAATCAAGATTGTAGGTTTAGCCGATGATAAGTATATTTATTCGACACGAATAATGAATTACAACACAACGGAGGAGAGAGATTTTTACCTTTATTATTACCCAATTTATTGTTACCCTATTACCCAAAGGTCGTTAAGAAAAAAATCCATAATGATGGGAAAAAAACCAATTTTTCTGGCCACCGGGATCGAACCCACCGGGATTGAACCCACCGGGATCGAACCCACCGGGATCGAACCCCCGACTAGGAGACAAGACTCCTATCCGGTCTCATAAGTTCCTAATCTATTCTATAAAACTAAAAATGAATCTTGAGTATTGTAAAGAGAATCGAATTTGATTCAAAAATTTCCATAGTTTTAACTATTCATTATATCATAAGTTTAATTGTTTAATAAAAATAGGTTTTGATTGTTTAAAAAAGCTCGGCTACAAGTCGATAACCTTTATAGCCTTTTAAGATGAAAGCTTTACATTATAGCTTTACATTACAGCTTTACATTACAGCTTTACGTTACAACTTTACAAAGATGTAATTTATAATCATTTGTGCTAGAGGAAAGCTAATTTTTGCTCAAAATTCGAAGCTGATTCGCAGCTAAACCTTCAAAGTTTCCCCTGTAAGCTTAAATCTAAAAAGTGATTCTAAAACCGGTTCATCCAATGGTTAACCGGTGAATAGACAACTCGTTTTTTTCCACTGTTCAATTGTGCATTTCAAATTTGCATTGAAAGCTGAATGGAGGGAAAATCGCCGGTGAAAGTCCGCCTTCCAATTCCTTGTCCACCCCACCCCATCCCCTCCACAATGACGAGAACTTTCGCGCCAAAACCCTCTCTTTTTCTTCATTTCCTTTCCCCCCAAATGTTTCCTCGATCATTGACGAGTTGTTCGACTTTAGTAAAACTCTTGTAAAACTTTTGTAAACTTTAAACTTAAACTGTAAACTTATTTTTAATCTCAATTCCAGGATTTGGATGTCCTCCAATCATCCAATCTACTCACTCGCCGAATCAAGCACCTCATGGCGAGTCAACAATGGAGTTGACTCTTCTTTTCATCCATCCTGTTCATCGACTTATTCACCCTGGAATGATCAAGAGATTGACACAGAGAATCGATTACCGTCAACAACTCGTGCAGGTTGGCTGTTCTAGCTTTTCGCTGATCCTTGATTGTAAAAGCTTACGACAATAAAGAAATTTTACAACTTACCATTCAAGTTCAACTATTTATTAAATCAATTGACATTCAGGCCTTTCTCCTCCATCAAAATGGCCGCGAGCTTCCACTCCTCGTCGAAGTCTTTCAACAGCTTCTTTCAACTATTCATCTTCTTCCACTTTCAGCCTTCATTCACCTCCATTAGTGAAGGTAAACTCAAAGACTTTTTAGACTTTTTAGCTTATTAGTTAGTTAAGGTAAACTAAGGAAAAATGATATTTTTTTTGATAAAGATAATGAAGCTATGAAGCAGTGAAGCTAAAAAGTCTTTGGACTTTTTAGCTTCATCGCTTCATAGCTTCATTATCTTTTATCAAAAAAAAACAATATTTCTCTTTCATTATCAATCACTCACTTTTACTTACTATTTAGTTTCATTTTATATACAGTAATCATTTCCTCAAGTCACCATAAAATTCTGTTTTTTATGAAAGAGATCAGTTTTTTTTCCCCGCCACCCAGAGAAATTCCCTTCGTTTTTTTTCATCACAACAAAACAGTGGCGATTTGTGGGAGGGAAAGACACACGAGTTTTTTATTGAAGAAAAGAAAAGAAGACAAAGAAGAAAAAGAAGAAATGACCCAAAAGATAAGACTAAAGAATTAATCAGTCTTTGCGCCACCGAAAAAATGCCTCAAACTTGAACAGAATTTATAGGGAAATGACTGGGGAAATGACAACTTTTTAAATTAGAAATCAAATGTTAAAAGCCTAAAGAGTTTTCAAAAGCAAACGAGTAAGTTTTAGTTGAATTCTATTGAATAAGTTTTTGTAAATGGTAAAGATACTAGATTTTTTATTAGAATGGTCAATCTATTCTAGATTCTTTTTCAAATAGTATGTTCAAAGCTTAAAATTTTAAAAACTCAAGAGTTTATAATGATTTTTCATAGTTTTTAATCTTATTAAGATCTACCGTATTTTCTCTAATAGTAGTGCACCCTGAGCGTCGCCTAAATTGCTCGAAATCTCGAAAAGCGCTTATCAGAACCTATCGATGTGGGATCGGAAAATGTAGCTGACGATGAGATCTAGTGGGGGATTTGAGTGTTGAACTTCTCTGAAAACTTTGAAAGCCGTAAAATAGTCACCAACTCGGCTCGCCGCGGTGCACTACTATTAGAGAAAATACGGTAGTCGCAGTTGTATTAACGTTTAAGAAAGTTAAACCTTTCAGATTCTTTTTTGTGACTATACTTGAATTTACAAGTTGTCGAAATAACGGCTTTCAAAATTATCTAACTTTCTCTAGCCTACTTTGTTCTTAAAACTCTTTGCAAGCTTTTGAAAAGAGTTCAAACTTTTCAAAGAAAATTTTAGGATAAAAGTTGAAGTTAAAAGTTGAAAATGTGGTATTCATTTTCTATACAATTTTAAACAAAAGTCACTCTTAATTTCCCCGATTTCTTTTCATCGATGATCAACCCATTTGAATCCATTCATTCATTTCTCATCGATCATTTCCTCTTCTTTCCCCCAGCTATGCCTTTTCTCCTTTTTGATTCGAATTTGCATTTAATTAAGGAGAAAGAGAAACAATCTTGTGTCACTGTTGATTTGTAGGAATTGAGGGAAAATCTAGAATAATTTAACAGTTATAAAAATTGTAGAATAAAGCTTACAATATACAAAGAGCTTGATGGAAAAAAGAAAAAAAGTTATCTATCTAAAATTTCCAGTCATCTCTCACCGTCCCAATGCAATCACCATTGCAAAGAACCCCAACGAATGGTGAAAAGGCTTCTCCATCAAATCTCCTCGTCACACCATCACCATCTAGGTATATAATAAATTCTTTAGATAAAGTTTTGTAGGAATTGAGAATATAAAAAATGTAGAATATAATAAATTCTTTAGATAAAGTTTACTTTAACCTACCGTAAATACTGTAATAGTCCTCCCCCGCCCATAATGACGATGCGGAGTGTTGCGTAGTCTAGCTTTGAACGAGTTTTTCTCGACACTGGCTTATGCTACAATGCACGTTTAGGTATCAAAAAAATAGCCCTGAATTTCAGCTATTTTTTGATACCAAGAGCACTTTTGAAAGTACGGGCGCTTTTTGAAAAATGAAATACTAAAAACTTTTGCAACTACGCTTCCCCTATAATGACGGTCGGGCGTCGCGTAGTCTAATTTTAAACGCATTTTTCTCGCCACTCCTTTATGCTACAATGCGCGTTTAGGTATCAAAAAAATAGCCCTGAATTTCAGCTATTTTTGATACCAAAGACGCATTTTTGAAAGTACGGGTGCTTTGAAAAAAATGAAATACTAAAAACTTTTGCGACTACGCGACTGTACGAGGGGGTGGGGTACTATTACAGTATTTACGGTAAGCTTATCTCTATAATAGATTGAATAAAAAGCGAGACAAGATTACGGTAGTTTTTGATAGTTGAAAACGCAGATTAATAGACTTTTGAGAAAAAATGAGAACCGTTTTACTCTCTTATTCTAGATTGCGACGTAATGTGAGACGATCAGCTTCAGCAATTGCTCGACCTTTAGTTCTTTCAAATCGATCTTTTGGTAAATTGAAGATGTTATTCAAAACTTTAAATCTTTTAGATATTGGATTACGAGAAATAAACTTTGACACTCACTCTTCTATGGATAATTATGAGGTGAGTAAGGTGCTAAAAACTCGATTAAGGACGATCAATTTCAGATGTGGGAAAAGGTGGATTGTGAAGAAGAAAATGGAGAAGAAGAATTGCCGATAGAAATCCCGCGAGATGATGTAATGTTATCCGGTGGATTGGCTGCATCACAAGAAAAATAGTCCCGATAAAACCCTTCCATACACGATTCACTTGGAGACACCCGTCGAAATCGCTCGAGAATCAAGATGAAGTTTGTTCTATTTTTCAATATAAAAATGATAGCTATAACTAGCTCAAAGATTGTTTTAAAATCTAAAATAGAAGCTCATTTGAAAGAGTTAGAAAAAAATTGTTTTTACAATTTTACAAACTTATGTAATCAAATGAGCTCTATCTAGAAAGAACTAAAGCTAGAAGCTAGAGCTAGAAGCTAGAGCTAGAGCTAGAAGCTAGAGCTAGTGAAGCTAGAGCTAGAAGCTAGAGCTAGAAGCGAAGCTAGCCCAGAAGCAGAGCTGAAGCTGAAGCAGAGCTAGAAGCTAGAGCTGAAGCTAGAGCTAGAAGCTAGAGCTAGAAGCTAGAGCTAGAAGCTAGAGCTAGAAGCTAGAGCTAGAAGCTAGAGCTAGAAGCTAGAGCTAGAAGCTAGAGCTAGAGCTAGAAAGAACAAGCTCTTGCTTTCTAGAAGCTAGCTCTAACGGAAATATTTAGTCATTTATTTATTACTCATTGTCATTTATCGATTACAAATTATACACGCTAGCGAAAAATTTCATTCGTTAGCGGCTGAATTTCGTAAACGGCTACGACATATATGTAGATAAAAGCCTGCTTATCCATACCCTAATTAAGCCTGTTATCTATTTTTGCTTTCAGATGGAGAACGAATATTTCAATTTGACTTCATCTCCTTATCTCTCCACTTATTCCTCTCTTTCATCAATTCATCGAATCCCCGAAATGCCCACTGGATCTTTGGAAACTTCGTAAGTTATCTAAAATTTGTTATTGTTTTGAAAAGGCTTTCATTTCGTTTTGAAAGTCAGTCTTTCCATTATCTAATCCTTCCAGTGTCTTCGACAATATCCAACATTTCTCGAATCGTCGCCCGCCCATTTTCAGCCCAGAAAGAACTCCGATGACTCTCAAAAAGCCCAGAAGAAGTTTACCCGTTCTAAAAGAAATGGTAAATAATCAATTTCAATATTAGATTTTATTTCTTTTATAGAAAAATATCTATGACCAATTTGGAAAATTTCGCCAAAAGCCGATCACTCAATCGATCCCTTCAATTTCGAGATCGCTTTCCGTTTGCACGGTGAGACTTATAACCCTAAGGCCTTCTTTACTATTATATAATATTCAGGAAATCCACTCAGCTCCATCAGTCATCAATCAGTCATTCTCTCCACAAATTCTTGAACCATTAGAACCATTGGAGACAAATCAAATCCCGATTCTTCTACTCGAACCGATTAAACAAGAGATCTCTCATCAAAATCCGTCAATTCTTCAAAAACGTCACACAATCTCAAGCACTCCTTTAACTACAATATCAAAAGGAAAAGAAGAAGAGAGATTGAAGAAGATGGAGAGAAAACTGAAAGATTCATCACACCAAGGAAACCATTGAAACCAGTGAGCAGACAAGAATTAAATAAGTAGAAAATCGAAATCAAAAAAGAAATACTTTAAAGTTTAAGAATTAAGATATTCAATTTTAGAAATTGATTATTTTACTGCAATTACTTTACCTTACTGTAAACAGTCTGCAGTTGTCTAGAAGTGTTCAGAGTTCTCTGTAAACTTCGTCAAATCAAATAAGGCCAACAGTCTCGTTTCTGAAGACAAAATTTTTTTGAAACAATTCTTATCTTTTTGGAGAGTTTATAGTGCATAAAACTAACATTAAAGTAATATATTTTAAATAAAAGATATGATTTCAGTTCGCCCGTCGTTGGTTGAGAATTGTTTACGGGACAACGATTGCACAACGAGAAGTCACCGCAGCCACGCATGAGCCCTTCGACACCGAGAGAAAGTCAAGGATCTATGTGATTCATAGATTTTTTACAAAAAAATAACTTTCAAGAATACAATAGGAATTCTTGTTTTTCTTGTTTTCTAAAGAAAGATCAGATTGGACAAATGTTTTTTCTTATAGAACGCTTGGTTTCAAAAGAAGCTAGCAATTGAATTCAGCTAGCAATTGAATTCAACTAGAAATTGAATTCAGCTAGCGATTGGATTCAGCTAGCAATTGAATTCAGCTAGCGATTGAATTCAGCTAACAATTGAATTCAGCTAGCAATTGAATTCAACTAGCAATTGAATTCAGCCCCAAACAATGTGAAACTAGAAATTGAATTAGCTACAATTGAATTCAGCTAGCAATTGACACAGCTAGCAATTGAATTCAGCTAGCAATTGAATTCAGCTAGCAATTGAATTCAGCTAGCGATTGAATTCAGCTAGCGATTGAATTCAACTAGCGATTGAATTCAACTAGCAACTGAATTCAGCTAGCAATTGAATTCAGCTAGCAATTGAATTCAGCTAGCAATTGAATTCAGCTAGCAATTGAATTCAGCTAGCAATTGAATTCAACTAACAATTAGATTCCTTTCTTCAGAACGATCTTATTTATATCCCAATGCCATAATTTTCTATATTTTCTATATTTTCTATCGATTCTTTTGTGAGTTCTTGTCTCTTTTTCCAGTCTTTTGAAATATTTAGAATCTGGATTTTTCTCTCTCGTTTCCATCTAGTCCTTTACGATATTTTTACATCCAATTATGCTTGTTTAAGCTTTTAATACTGTATACTGTTTTGCTGATTGCTTTTTTTACTTTAACAATTTGAAGGACACATACAATGTTTGCTTCTTTCATAAATTGCACAGTTGTATAAACAAACGAAAAAAATGTCTAACATGGGATTAGGGAAATGTTTGTATTACAAAGAAATATAAGAAAACCCCTCAGTGTCAAGAGGTCAAGAAATTGCAATAGATTTAAGGCCAAGAACATTGTTTCATCTCTTCTTTTTCTCCATCTAGCAACTCATGTTTACCAAGCACTTGTTCACTGGGTATTCGTTTTTATTGCAAAACCCTTCACAACTCATCTCCGAACAGACAAACATATTCATTTTACTAGATTTGTTTCTATTAGACAGGTTCTTCGGTTATAATTTCGATTTGAATTCAATGAACAACTCAAGAGTGTAAAGGGAAAACTTTCCTTGACTTGATCCCGAAAATCTCGCAGAACTATTTTGCAGACTTTGCTTACAGATTCGGATTCGGTTCTTCATTCAATTTTTGATCGATGAGCTATCCGCTTTGAAATCCCCACATTCGAATTCGGATTCGGATTCAGATTCTTCATTCAATTTTCTATCAAATGAGCTAAATCCGCTAAATCCCGACAGAAATCCCGACGAAATCCCGACAGTAATCTTCTCTAGTCAAGGTTTTCCCCAGTTAACAATGGTAATAGGATTTTCCGGTACTATCCCTGTTATATTGGGTTGATGGGAAAAGTCCTTTCCGATTTTTTGGGAGAGTACCTTAAATTTGTCGATTTTTGACGTTTTATAGCTCATCCTAAAAGCTGAATTCAAGACGGATCGATTGGTAAAAACCGTTTTGAGATATCTCTTTTCTAAAAGTTTTACAGCTATTTTAGTAAAGGGCGGCAGAGCCAAAAAATGGTCTTGAATTCAGCTTTAGGATGAGCTATAAAACGTCAAATTGACCAAATTTAAAGTACTCTCCCAAAAAACAGAAAGGACTTTTCCATCAACCCAATACATCCCCATTGTGTACCCCAGGTTAGACTACTTTAAAATGTTTAGATTGAGTTTAAGCTATGTTTAAGATATGTTTAAGATATGTTTAAGATAGGCTTTGTTCAAGTAGATAAAGCAATATTATAAATCCAAAATGATTAGCTCAATTGACATGCGGATTTATATATAGGAGAGTACAGGATTTTCTATGATGCCTGAAAACTGGAAATACTCTAAAAACATTTTCCAACATTTGAAATGAGGATTTCAGGCCATTTTTTGACACTTATCCTTTAAACGAGAAATTTTTATGTTTCTAGATGGGAAACCAGCTGAAAGTGCTAAAGAAATCTTCCAAAATGGGTCTCCTAGCGACAAGGATTTCCAACAACAAAAATATTTGCACAAACAGAGAACGCTGAACATTCAAACTGGTGGCAGCAATGTTGTGAGCTGACAAAAGTTAAAAGACTTTACCTTTTTACCTTTCAGTATTTAGAATTATTTGGTTTTCATTTGGTTTTATTAGGGTTAGTTCATCTCAAAATGTGCATCCAATTTCTCTGCTTTCAAATTTTCATTCAAAAATAAAAACACTTCCTTAAAATGAATGCCATAAATTTCCGTCCCCGAGCTCGCCGCTTTTTTCAATTTCATTTTGAATCTCAAAAGATATTGAAGATCTTTTCAAACAGTATTTGAGCAATTTTTTGAAAATTCATAACTTTCAGAGGTTCAAAAGAGTTATAAAAGAAGTTTACCTTACCGTAAATACTGTAATAGTACCCCACCCCCATAATGACGGTGCGGAGTGTTGCGTGGTCTAGCTTTGAGCGAGTTTTTTCTCGACACTGGTTTATGCTACAATGCGCGCTTAAGGGCAAAAAAAAGGCCTGAATTTCAGCTATTTTTTGATACCAAAGACGCTTTTTTAGAAAGTACCGGAGCTTTGAAAAAAATGAAATACTAAAAAACTTTTGCGACTACGCGACTGAGGTACTATTACAGTATTTACGGTAATTATTTTCACGAAATTTTTCTTTCGAGCTGGGAAATTCTGGAGATTTATCATTTTACCCGTTTTATTACACGATTAAAAACTCGATCATAAAAGATATGAAAAGCATTCTTGTTTTTTTTCAGGAAATCTTTCTGCGAGCTGGGTGGTTCCGAAGCCCATTCTTTCGTGTTATTCATGTTATTCTTTCGTGTCTTTCATGTCTTTCATGTCTTCCATGCTTTCATTTCTTTCTTGTTCTTGTTCTTTCATGTCTTTCTTGTTCTTTTAAAGTTAACAAAATGGTTTGATTATTGGTTACTAAAAAGTACTTTTAGGCTTTTTGATGAGGCTTTTTTGAAAAGAAAAATTCGGCTAGACTTTTTCGGGAGAAAAGCTCTTTTGGAGGTCTTTTTTTTCAGATCAGAGAAAACCAATTGATGTCCACAACCGTTCGAAGCCCATTCTTTTTTTTTGCTTATTCCAATCTTCATTCCAAGTTTTTATAGAATAACCTTGACAAAATCAAGTATTTATTCGAACTTCAATAGAATAATTGAAATTTCTAGGCTTTTTTATCCGTTATCGGGGTCTGAGTGGTAAACTAGAATGTTTTAAAATTCTGAAGTGCAAACATTCTTGATCCCTTTTGCAAATTTCTTCTCTCCCTCTGCCCCCTCAATCTCTAGAGAGGCATATCTTTTAGGTATCCCAAATCCCTTTCTAATGTTACTTTTAGTTGCTTTCAAAATCGCATTGGAATTCTTTACCAATTATCATTGAGGAAATTCATCATCTCCCGTTTTTAAAAGAGCAATTTCCTCCTCTTATAACACAATAATTGCCATTTTTCGTATTTGATAGTTGTTTTTCCCCTGTTTTCATCTCATATTTCGTTTTTTTAAAACAAAAGAAGTCACGACACAGCTCGAAGTTCGACAACACTTACAGGCATTTGCTGTAAGGCAGTTGTTGTACGGCAATAAGAAACAAGCGCCGCTCCCGATCGCGCCACGGAGCAGCTATAAGGCCCGATGTTAGGCGGGGTTTTTCGGTTGGTGAGTATAGATTTTGTAACTTGGTGTACGAGTTTCCTGAACTCGAGACGTTTGATAGGACCTGAAAATACAGTTACCCAACCATTTCTCATTACAGGAATCCGCAATGGTGGTTGACTTCCTGATTTAAGTTTTCGGCGTCATAACTTTCTGCCAGAGCCAATAGTTTGTTTTATTTTTTTGTTACATGGAAGAAATGTTGAGCTTAGATTGTCTTTGATTGACTCAAGAGGATAAGTGCTTCCGCGTTAACAGCACAATTTTCTCTTGAGAAAATTGTGCTGTTAACGGGAATATGAGCCAATCAAATTTCATTAGGTACCAGTGTCAAAAGCTGGTCACTGGCACTGGTTACTGGCAAACCGTTGAAAAGATTCCGTGATCGGGATAGGGAATTGCAATTATTTCCCTTGAACGAGGAATTCCTAGTAAGTGTGAAAGTGTGAATATGCAATAAAAAAAGAGAAAAACAAAAAATATTGGCTTAGGCTTTAGAAAAGTGATGACTTGATGATTTAGAGGTCGAATCGACTACTCAAAAAAAACAAGAGCAATCTTTTATCTCTTAACGACTGCCTAACTTTGTTCGAGCATCCCTTTGAGTCAACTTTTCTTCTATTCAACTTTTCAAGAAGTTGCAAAAGTCAATTTATTGCAAAACTCATTTCGATTTTCGACTTTTGCACTTCAAAAAGTCGCTTCTTTTCATTTTTTTCGAAGTCTATTCTGCCGAGAGGACAAAATTCAATTATCAATCAACAGAACGAAGGCTCAAGGAGACAAGACTGCCTTCTTTAGCCGATTATTTAATTGTTTCCCTGAATCAGCAGTTTTTTGGTGCTTTTTTCTTCTGACCTTTCAAAAGTCTTTGGCGATTCTTTGGCAAACACTTCCCTTAACACTTCTATTTTACCCAAATTTCACAGCTGATTTCTTGACTTGTAATTAGTTGGAATTGGCACGAAAGTTTTCCAAAATCTGCTCCATTTACTGTCACAATTGTCATGTTATTCCTATAGAAATGAAGACCTATTTTCTTAGTTTAATCTCTATTATTTCATCTAAGTGTATCTGTATTCAAAAGGCAGAAAGCAATCAGATGGGATCTCACAATAACAATGAAACGACAAAATTCTATGAGGATTTCCTTGATGATCTTCGACTTTTCAGCGGGGAATCTTTCAATGAAGAAATATGGGGAGATTTGATAGCAGAAATCACATTGGTAAGT